TTAGGCAGCAGAATCGCTTGAACTCGGGAGGTAGATGTTGCAGTGAGCCGATATTGCGCCATTGCACTCCGGCCTGGGCAACAAGAGTGAAACTCTTGTCTCAAGAAAAAAAAAAAAGAAAAAAAAAAAAGAACATTTAGGCCAGGCACACAGTGACTCACGCCTATAATCCCAGCACTTTGGGAGGCCAAGGTGGGCAGATCATCTGAGGCCAGGCCACCTTGGACAACATGGCGAAACCCCATCTCTACTAAAAATACAAAAAAAATTACCCAGGTGTGGTGTCACATGCCTGTAATCCCAGCTACTGGGGGTGCTGAGGCAGGAGAATCGCTTGAACCCAGGAGGTGGAGGTTGCAGTGAGCGGAGACTGGGCCACGGCACTCCAGCCTGGATGACAGAGTAAGACCGTCTCAAAAAAAAAAAAAAAAAAATTTATGATAGTCGAAAGGTACAAAATCTTAGACAGGAAAAATATATTTTCTGCCTTTTTTGAGTTATATTGTACAGTGTGTTGCATATACTTAATAATGGAGTATTACACATCTCAAAATTGATGTTCTCATCACAGAAGTGTATCTGAAGTATTGGATATGTTAACTAGCTTGATTTAATTATTCCACATCTCATCCACAATTTATGACATCACTTTGTAACCTATAAATTTATACGATGATAAATTGTCAATTTACAAAAAAAATTATACAAGCATAAAGTAAAATGCAGCGGGCTTACAAAGGAAACCAACTACAGTGACATACAAGTAATGCAACTACTAAAAAACAAATTTGCAATATAGTAATATGTATATTTCTTTCTTTCTTTTTCAGACAGAGTTTTAATCTGTCGCCCAGGCTGGAGTGCAGTGGCGCAATCTTGGCTCACTTCAACCTATACCTCCCAGGTTCAAGCTATTCTCCTACCTCAGCCTCCCGAGTAGCTGGAATTACTGGTGCTCACCACCATGCCTGGCTAATTTTTGTATTTTCAGTAGAGATGGGGTTTCACCATTTCGGCCAGGCTGGTGATCCACCCACCTCAGCCTCCCAAAGTGCTGGGATTACAGGTGTGAGCCACTGCACCCGGCCTGTAATATGTATACTTCTTAATGTGACTAATAACAAGATCTAGTGGTGAAAGACTACAGTGTTCTCATAGCGATGAAAACAGTAATATTTTGAGGTATCATCAATATTCTTAATGTAATATAAAAAAATTATCACAGAATTGTAGGTACTGCTAATTCTGTGGTTTGTAGATTATATTCATAATTAAGGCAATGCTAAATTTCAGCTAGAGGTTAGTGAAAATAAAGACATAACTTTCTTCCAATCCAAGTTTGCCCTGAATTCTGTCCACAGATCCTCTGAACCTCCAGTTAATGCTCCCTGGATTCCAGTGGGGAAAGTCTGGGCAGCTCTTTTTGCCTCTAGAGCCCAATTCAATTGCAAAGCTTCGATACCATTTGGAATCATTTTGAAATTTAAGAAGTTTTTCTACATTCACTATGCAACCCAGAGCATCATGATACTGTTGTGCCCAGACCCTCTGTTCCCCAAAGAAGACCACCAGAGTCCAGAGTCAAAGCCAAGCGGCAAGGATCTTTACGACAAGTTCGAACCTGGTCCCTCCATTACACGGCATACAAGAGGGCCCCGAACAATGCGAGTGCTTGCTTTTTTATAGCCCGAAAGTTACAGGGGAACAAAGGAATTCTTTCGGTTCCCGCGCTTTCAGTAAAACCTTGAACGGCTGTCTCCTTATCGGAGACCTTCCAGGTGGTGTTTGTACTGGGCTCAGGAAGTTTGAGAGATATGTGGTGGGATGGGAGGATGGGATGTGTTTGTACGGGGCTCAGGAAGTTTGAGAGATATATGGCGATATATGGTGGGATGGGAGGATGGGATGTGTTTGTACTGGGCTTGTTTGTTTTGAGCCCGGGGCTGAGGAATGTGCCCGGCTCCTCTCAATACATGTTCGAGGTTGCCTGTTTATTCAGACTTTCTGGGAAATCAAAACTCTAGGAACCAAAAGGAAAACAAAAAAAAGCAACCATCACCTCAATTAAAAAAAAAAAAAAATCTACCAGACAGGAGTCATGGAAACAAACATTCCAAGAACCGATTTTAGGTTTTATTCTTGCCTCCTTAGGAAAGAAAAAAACAATTCCAAACAAAATTACCTACATACTACCTTATTTGCAGAAATGTGATTTACAACTGCCTATTTTTAACTATAGCAATTATGAACTTCTTTTCATTTTTAAGAGTACTGCTAGAGGGCCAGGTGCAATGGCTAATGCCTGTAATCCCAGCACTTTGGGAGGCCAAGGCAGGTGGATCACTTGAGGTCACGAGTTCAAGACCAGCCTGGCCAAAATGTTGAAACCCCATTTCTACTAAAAAATACAAAAATTAGCTGGGCATGGTGGTGTGCACCTTTAGTCCCAGCTACTCAGGAGGCTGAGGGAGGAGAATTGCTTGAACCCAGGAGGCAGAGGTTGCAGTGAGCCAAGATCAAGCCACTACATTCCAGCCTGGGTGACAGTGAGACTCCATCTCAAAAAAAAAGAGTACTACTAGATTTTGCACAGGAAAAATATTCAAATATAAGTATCAAGGTTAATGTTACCAAATGATTTTAAATTTGGATTAACCAAGATACTTACTAAATGCTACCATCTGGGATAAATCCATTCCTACTTGATCTTTCACACAGATTGAGCTTCACGTGGTACAAGATATTTCCCATGAAGTATACCAGAGCATAAGAGCTTGGGATTTAAATTCCAACAGGCAGGGTTCAGGTACCACCCTTGCTAGTACTAGCATCATTGCACAAGTGCTATCTTCTAAGTTTGAGTTTGCACATGTGTAAATGGGAATAATGACAATAACATCTCCCTCACAGGTCTACTGTGAGGATTAAGTGAGGAAAGGCATGTACTCCTTAGTAGTCATCACATAATCATATACGTAAGCACTTAGTCAATGGTGGTTACTATTAATAAACCAGTAAAATCTCTCTTACATGCTCCTTAGCCATTAACACATTTTTTTAAAATGATAAAAGTGATAAGCATCTTGTCAATGAAGACTCTTTGGAAAATACAGAGACATATAAAAAAGAGGCCATAGACTCTTACCTCCACCCAAGTCTATCTCCCTTTTTCATATAAACAGGGGTACAAAATTTGAAAAGAGAGTAATACATGTATTAATTTTTTGGAGACACTGCCAGTTTTGATGCAAGTTATCTTTTTTTTGTTGCAATAAAAATGCCTTTCATTACTGGTCTGGATGTTTTGTACCTTCTCCAGTACTAAAAGAAACGTCTGTTTAAATTTAGAGAGAGAGGGAAAAAAGGGCACTTGAACACTATGGGAGGTTCTACTGTAGAATTCTGGAAGAAGAAAAAGGTGTAAATTATTTCACAATACAGTAGAAATTACAAGAAGTCCAAAGACTACCAATTGTTACAGTAATGAATAAGGAAAAGGCACCAAGTCTCTTTTTTGACTGTCATATAATAACAGACTTGAGTTGCAACAGCTGGTGTGTATGCAAGCTCAGGGGATGATTTTACACGTGCCATTTAATCCAGGTACACTAGACTAGTACCTTTCTCAAAACTCAGAAAATAAATTGCTGCGAAGTTAAAACGACTTAACCCTGATTACAAATGGGGTAACAGGTAATTTTTTGCTTAAAGAGAGCCTCTAGGAAACAGGAGGTTTGATCAGTTTGTTTCATGTACTTCTACTTCTTCCCTTTAGGGTGCCTCAGAATGACCTGGTTCTCCCTTCTCTGTGTTAACACCTGACACATCTTTCTCTGACAGTCAAAACTCACAGATTATCCAAGTTTTAGAAGCCAAGTTATACTCGTCCCTTTGTTGCCTGCGGACCTGGGGCACTGCCTATGAGTGTTTCAAGGGATAACCCAGATGTTTTTAAACTTTAAAAAAAAATTTTTTTTTAATACAAGGTCTTTCTCTGTTACCCAGGCTAGAGTACAGTGGCATGATTATAGCTCACTGCAGTCTCTAACGCCTGATCTCAAATGATCTTCCTGCCTTCATTGCAAGTAGCTGGCACTACAGGCACACGCCACCACGCCCTGCCAATTTTTTATATTTTCAGGAGAGACGGAGTCGCACTATATTTCCCAGCCTGGTCTCGAACGCCTGCCTCGGCCTCCTAAAGCGCTGGGATTATAGGCGTGAGCCACTGCGCCCGGCCTAAGATGCATCTTAAGAGGCACTGTTCTATTTCTACCATGTCGAATAGTATTCGGCCAACTCTTTCCAGCTGTGTCCTGAATTCAAAGTGGAAAAAGGAGAAGAAAATTATAACAGGTCTCACAATCTCTGATTCTATTCAAACTCTGACGATTTAATCTTTCGCTGAACTGGGTTACAGAATCTTTCGAAAGTCAAATGGAGCTTCGGGACGGGCCTGCCTATGACGTGCACCTTGGATCACCTTCCCCAGGGGCACCTGCCTAGGTGCGGGCTAGGGCGATTCAGTCCTTTGTTCCCACTACGAGGGTTGGGGAGAGAAATGGGGGAAGCCGAGGCCGAAGAGCCAGCCTGACTTCATTTCCACAAATGATTCCGGTGACCTCAAGTTAGAGTATGAGCCACTGGAGTGCAGGGGACGGGCAAGAGGAGAATCTGGGGCAAGGGGGACTTCATTCTGCCGCCTAAATTCGGATGACCAGGCCTAAATTCGGATGCGTCGCCATTTCCCACAGGGAAAGGCTCCGTGCGGCTATCAGTTCACATTCCTCCAGCCGAGTGCAAGCGGCTCCGCTCTCCCTCGGCGTCCGCGGACACCTGGGCACTGCTCCCCCGAGCCACGCAGCAGCCCAGGCATGGCCGGGGTCCGGCGGAGGGAGCGCCGTGCTGCGCCCGGGAACCCGCCGGGGCCTCATAGGCCGGCTGCCCGCGAGCCGGGGCGCCCTGAACTCTCCGCGCCTGGGCCACCGCGGCTCGGTTACCTCTTGGGGACATCAAAGGCGCGGCAGGCGGCGGGGCGCGGCGGCTCCCCACACTTCGTTTTCCCATAGCGTATCAGGTCCTGAAAGATCGCGCAGCCCGGGAGCAGGCCAGGCGGCAGGAGCTGCAGCAGTAGGGTGAGCAGGAAGGCGGCGGTCAGCGTGAGCCACACCGCGCGCAGCGGGTTCAGCGCCGAGAGCTCGGCCTCCGCCCAGGGAGCCATGGCCCGCGTGCCCGCCTTCCGAGCTGCTGGCGCCCCCACCGCCCGCTTGTCCGCGGAAAAGCGGCCACTGGCGCGCCGCGCGCAGGTCTCAGCCTAGCGGGACGTCGGTGACGCGGGGCGGGGCGGGGCGGGGACGCGGAGCGGGGCGGGGCGGGGACGCGCAGAGCCCCTCCCGGAGTCGCCGCTCAGCCGCGAAGGTCCTTGGTCCCGGTTGTGCTGGCGCAGGCTGGTCGCTCGCAGTCCCTAATCTGGGTATGGAGATGCTTAGATGGAGTTCGAGAATATGATTAATCAGAAGTAAAGACTCAAAACAGATGAGACCACGTGTCTGCCACTCTTATCAGCATTATCTCCAAGGCAAAAAATGGAAACCGTACATGTTCCACTTTATTTAACTAAATTGTGCTACACTAACATGTTAGAATATCATGCAGTCATTGAGAATTATTATGACGAGTGTAGAAACACGGAAAGCTGTTTAGGAAACAGTATGTGAAATGAAAAAAAAACAGCTGTAAAAATACATAGCTATGATTGCAAACAACTGTATTAATATGAATGTTTGTATATATGGATAAGGCAGATCACACACAAAAATGAATAATCGTGTTAGGATGTTGGAAATGTGTTGCATATGTGTATAATGTAAACATGTAGACAAGTAATTGCACGTAATAATAAAAATTATAGTGGTAAAAACTGTGTTTAAAAAACAGCAGTCGCTTCCCAATAGGGTTTCAATCCTTAGAAGCAAAGTTTTTAAATTCCATCAGCTGTTTCCTGTAACATTTATCTCAGGTAGTGACAATGCTATTTATTGACTCACTGATTTTAAACAACACTGCTTTTATTTACTATAAGTGAAAATCTAGCTCTTTTAAGTATTTAAAAGCCTTTAAAATGTTAATTCTGAAATATTGTATGCCTACTGTATGATAGGCATCATTTTGGATACTGAGGACAGAGGGGTTTACAAGACAATTGTCACTGCCTATTTGGAGCTTACATTTTTGAGACTGGGTGGTGGGTGCGAAGTGGAAGAGGGGAGAGGTAGCCAACTCATCACCCTTACCCCAGTGAGATAGCCGATGTGTGTGTTGAATAAACATCAGGGTGGGTAGGTTAGTGGGACTTTGGATTGTTAAATGAGCAAGCTTTTAGAATTTTGCTTCTTTGTGCAACAACACCTAAGGCTTTACCAATCCTTTGACAGCCAGGTGATAAAGGATGGTCAAATTGGTATTCTAGCTAGGACAATGAGGCCTTATTGAGTGATCCTGGATCTCTTTTGCAGGAGTCGCCCTTTCGCTGTTTCTTTCCTTTTTTTTTTTTTTTTTTGAGACGGAGTCTAGCTCTGTCACCCAGGCTGGAGTGCAGTGGCCTGATCTCTGCTCACTGCAAGCTCTGCCTCCCAGGTTCACACCATTCTCCTGCCTTAGCCTCCCGAATAGCTGGGACTACAGGCACCTGCCATCACACCCGGCTAATTTTTTTTTTTATTTTTTTATTTTTAGTAGAGACGGGGTTTCACTGTGTTAGCCAGGATGGTTTCGATCTCCTGACCTCGCGATCCGTCCGCCTCAGCCTCCCAAAGTGCTGGGATTACAAGCATGGGCCACCGCACCTGGCACCACTTCACTGTTTCTTTATTGTTCTTAGGTTAACTCCCTGGAAATGCAGGGGGCTTTTCCATGATCTCTTTCTTTTCAGAGAAGCTACTTGTAAGTGCATTGCAGGGACTCAGTTTCCTAGGTAGGAGTTTCTCTTACAGTTGTCTGACCTGGGGGAGGATTGAAAACAAGGTAGGGGAGAGAGAGAGAGAGAGAGAGAGAGAGAGAGAGAGAGAGAGTGTGTGTGTGTGTGTGTGTGTGTGTGTGTGTGTTGTGGAAACAGGAAGGGTTGAGGAGGCTGGAGGGGAAAATTATCCCATATATTTTTTTGATTTTTTTTTTTTTTTTTTTGAGATGGAGTTTCACTCTTGTTGCCCGGGCTGGAGTGCAATGGCACGATCTTGGCTCACCGCGATCTCCGCCTCCCGGGTTCAAGCTATTCTCCTGCCTCAGCCTCCCGAGTAGCTGGGATTACAGGCACGTGCCACCAGACCAGGCTAATTTTGTATTTTCAGTAGAGACAGGGTTTCTCCATGTTGGTCAGGCTGATCTCAAACTCCCGACCTCAGATGATCGGCCTGCCTCGGCCTCCCAAAGTGCTGGGATTACAGGCGTGAGCCACCCTGCCTGGATATTTTTTAGATTATAATCAGCATGCACAGTTTATATTCAGAGAAGGCCCCTGTAGATGGCAGTGGCTGAACAGAAAGCCATAAGCTACACCCTCCCGGGAGTATTTGTGAATGTAAATCCTGACTGGAGTGAGTTAGTTCGAAAGTGGAATACCAGGCTAACATCTGTTACAAAGATCATTGCTAATAAATATCAGTGAGCATTTTTTTCTTCATTTAATTAACTGCACTATATGTTCAACAAACTACTGGTCTTGCCTGCAGTAAATGGCAAAGCCATTTTTCCAGTTGCTCAGGGGAAAAATCTTGAACTCAGCCTTGATTCCTGTCTTTCTCTCATAGCCTAAATACAGTCAGTCAGCAAATCCTGTTGGCTCTACCTTCAAAATATGAATCTAAATTCAATCACCCTTAGAGTCAGTGCTTTAGGTCACAAGCCATCTCAATAAATCAGAAAAAGAAATAAAACATATAAGGACTACTAAGTAAGAAATAACGCTGTCATTATTTGACGATTATATGAAACTCCAATAATAGAAACTCCAATGGCATGCACAGATAAGGTATCAGAACTAGCAGGAGAGTTTGGGGAGGTTGCTGGAGATAAAAATCTGTTCATAAATATGATTTCTATTTCCCAGCAACAAACAGGAAATTGTACATTTTTATTTCTCAGCAACAAACAATATATTGTATGTTTCAAAGATACAATTCACAATGGCATAAAATATATGTCTAGGAGTAAATCTAATAAGGATATAAAAGATGTTAGAAATACCAAAATTGTTAGAAATAGATCATTGGTGCGGCAAAGAAAAGTCGGCACAGAGACAAAAGATCCCTCAGCAAGGCCGTCTTTACTTTTTGCAGAAAGGGCGTTCAGTCGCAGATGGAACCATGGCGAGAGCACCCTTGAACAAAAGAAAATGAGACATAAATATTTATCCCTTACCCATTTGGGTTATCCTTACTGCTGTGTCCTGCATCCATTGGCTGGAGTGGGACCTCACAATCTTTTTTTTTTTTAGGACAGAGTTGGGCTCTTGTTGTCCAGGCTGGAGTGCAATGGCACGATCTCCGCTCATCGCAGCCTCCGCCTCCCAGGTTCAAGCAATTCTCCTGCCTCAGCCTCCCTAGTAACTGGGATTACAGGCATGTGCCACGATGTCTGGCTAATTGTGTATTTTTAGTAGAGATGGGTTTCTCCATGTTGGTCAGGCTGGAACCTCACAATCTTAAATTGATACCTGATTTGCTAATAACTTGAAACTTTTCTGAATAGGTAAATGCAGGGAAGAACAAAGAAGTTGCTTACGAAAGGTGTAAGGAAGCAATAACGTTTCCAAATAAGGAAGGGGCATAGGCTGTGAGCTGGAACCTGCCTGTGAGCACGTCCAACAGTTACATAGGATAGGACTTAACGAAGAGTTATTAGCACAAAGCAAGGAGGCTTGAAGAAAGTTAGTCTTTAAAAGAAACTATTATTTCTAACACTTATAATTTATTCTTTAACAAGAAGGAAATCTTTGAAGAGGAAACTTTTTACTTTCTACAATCCCTCCTCTTTTAATTGTCCTCTTCAAACTTGATTAACATGTGTTGGCTTAGCTGTTTTGATTAACTCCTGGATGTGTGGTACAACATAATACCTAAGATGAAGGAGTAGAGTACACTTATTATAGTTGTTAAAGAGGTAAGAATCGAGGCTACAGTTTTTTTCTTTTTCTGTTGATGAAATGTCAAGGTAAAAGGGATAGCTAACTGAACTAAAGTGTAAGTACTGCTCTAATTATTTGGCAGAGTGTCCAGTAAAGGTCCTCTATAATACCACCATACATCCGCTCAGCAATGAGTAAGGGCAGACTGATGGATCAGCTCTTGGAAGTGCCTGACTTCACTGCATCCTGTTAAGTCTCCAAGGAATGCCAAAATTTTCCTCTTGTCATTAGAGACACAAGGTAAAGTTGGTTTTGGAAGATGGAGACTGGATGGCCCTCAGGGGCTGACCCACAGGGTGTTGAGCTTCAGGAAATAGCGGGGAAAGAGCTTGGTACAATTTGTTATTCCAGGCAGTGGAATCTTGAAAAAGAGCTACCATGGACTCCATGTCCGCTTGATTTGAGGACCACCCCAGTGGAAAGGGAACAACCTGGGCCTTTGGCCTACCGTGCACACAAGCCTAACAGTTGCTTTTGTTTGAAGTGTGAAAGGAATATTTAATCCATTTTAACCAGGCATTTACATCTTTATACCCTGTTTCAATGGCTATGGTTTACCTTAGGTCTCCTATTTCTACTGAGACCTACTGAGTCCTTACTTTTGCTGAGACCTTACTTTTGTCATCTGGCATGAGGCGAGGCATAGTTTGATTTCATAGGTTTGGGAAAGGGGCAGTTGTAGGAGGTGGAGGAGGGAGAACAAAGCGCATCATAAAGAAGCCTATAGGATCCTTTCCAGTGACCTCTGCTCCTAGACCACAGAAACGCTCTAAAGTGGGGTTAGAGTTGCTAGTGGTAGGAGTAGTAATGGATGTAGGAACTGGGTTAGGAAAGGAATAGATAGACTAAGCTTTTCTTAGCTTTTATTTGGTAGGGCTTGATCCAGGAACAATGGCCCATGATTCTTATGATAATGGCGTTTGCTTGACTTGGGTGTGATGTGTCCATCCCCTTTCTGCTGTAGGAACAGCAGTCTTGGTGGTTAGCAGCACAAGGTAGGGTCCTTCCCAGGCTTGCTTGATTTTCCCTTCTTTCTACGTTTTGATGAGGAAGTGATCCCCAGGGTGGAGCTGGAAACTCCAAGGGCGGTGCCTGTGCTAAAAGACCTTTTGTTTTAAGGGAAGAGAAGGTTGAAGGTAA